CTGAGCTGGGCCATGCTGGGCTGAACTGGGATGAGCTGGGCTGAACTGGGCTGAGCTGAGCTGGGCTGAGCTCAGCTGGGCTGGGCTGAGCTGAGCTGAGTTGGGCTGAGCTGAGCAGAGCTGAGCAGGGCTGAGCTGAACTGGGCTGAACTGGGCTGAGCTGGGCTGAGCTGAGCTCGGCTGGGTTGAGCTGAGCTGAGCTGGGCTGAGCTGGGCTGAGCTGAGCTGGGCTGAGCTGAGCTGGGCTAAGCTGGCTGAGCTGGGCTGGGCTGAACTGAGCTGAGCTGAGCTGGGCTGAGCCAGGCTGAGTTGGTTTGAGCTGGGCTGAGCTGGGCTGAGCTGGGTTGAGCTGAGCTGGGCTGAGCTGAGCTGGGCTAAGCTGGGCTGAGCTGAGCTGGGCTACGTTGGGCTGAGCTGGGCTGAACTGGTTTGAGCTGAGCTGGGCTGAGCTGGGTTGATCTGGGCTGAGCTGGGCTGAGCTGAGCAGGGCTGAGCTGTGCTGGGCTGAACTGGGCTGAGCTGGGTTGAGCTGGGCTCAGCTGGGCTCAGCTGGGCTCAGCTGGGCTCAGCTGGGCTGAGCCGAGCTGAGCTGAGCTGAGGTGAACTGGGCTGGGCTGAGCAGGGCTGAGCCATGCTGGGCTGAACTGGGTTGAGCTGAGCTGAGCTGGGCTGAGATGTGCTGAACTGGGCTGAACTGGGTTGAGCTGGGCTGAGCAGGGCTGAGCCATGCTGGGCTGAACTGGGTTGAGCTGAGCTTAGCTGGGCTGAGCTGAGCTGAGCTGGGCTGAACTGGGTTGAGTTGAACTGGGCTGAGTTGGCTGAGCCAGGGTGAGCTGGGCTGGGCTGAACTGGGCTGAGCTGAGCTGGGCCGAGCCAGGCTGAGCCATGCTAGGCTGAACTGGGTTGAGCTGAACTGAGCTGAACTGGGCTGAACTGAGCTTGGCTGAGCTGGGCTGGGCTAGGCTGGGCTGAGCTGGCTAAGCTGAGCTTTCTGAGTTGGGCTGAGCTGAGCTGGCGGAGCTGGGCTGAGCTGAGCTGAACTGTGTTGTAGAACTGGGTTGAGCTGAGCTGGGCTGAGCTGAGCTTGGCTGAGCTGTGCTGGGTTGAGCTGGGTTGAACTGGGCTAAGCTGAGCTCAGCTGGCCTGACCTGGTTAAGCTGGCTGAGCCGAGCTGGGCTGGGCTGCAATGAGCCGAGCTGGGTTGGGCTGGATTGAGCTGAGCTGGGATGAGCCGGACTGGGCTGAACTGGGCTGAGCCGGGCTGAGCTGGGTTGAGCTGGGCTGAACTGAACTGCAGTGAGCTGGGTTGAGGTGAGCCAGGCTGAGCTGGGTTGAGCTGAGCTTGGCTGAGCTGTGCTGGGTTGAGCTGGGTTGAACTGGGCTAAGCTGAGCTCAGCTGGCCTGACCTGGTTAAGCTGGCTGAGCCGAGCTGGGCTGGGCTGCAATGAGCCGAGCTGGGTTGGGCTGGATTGAGCTGAGCTGGGATGAGCCGGACTGGGCTGAACTGGGCTGAGCCGGGCTGAGCTGGGTTGAGCTGGGCTGAACTGAACTGCAGTGAGCTGGGTTGAGGTGAGCCAGGCTGAGCTGGGTTGAGCTGAGCCGGGCTGAGCCAGGCTGAGTTGGTTTGAGCTGAGCTGAGCTGGGCTGAACTGGGCTGAGCTGAGCTCAGCTGGCCTGACCTGGTTAAGCTGGTTGAGCTGAGCTGGTTGAAGTGGGTTGAAGTGCGCTGAGCTGTGCTGAGCTGGGCTGAGTTAACCGTGGTGAATGAGATGGATCCAGTAGAAATGGGCTGGCTGAGTCAACTTGACCTAAACAATATGATGCGCTGCTTCGGGATGGTTAACCGTGGCTGAACCAGGTGGGTCTAGCTGGGCTGAGCTGGCCAGGCTACACCGTCCTGGCTGACACTGGGCTGACCTCAGTGACCTGGGCATGCTGAGGACAGGCCGAGCTGAGTCCGCGTCAGTCTCGCTGATGGCACACACACCTTTCCTCCAAGCCCAGGCACCCAGGGCCCGACTGCAGTGTGGCTGAGCCAGGGGCGGAAGGGCTGGGCTGGCGGGGCCGAGAGTGCTGGCATCCGCTGCATGGCCTCGGAGGGAAGGCAGGGCGTGCAAGGACGTCTCTCACCCCCTCCTCCTCTTCTGTTCCCTCGCGGGTCCTCAGAGAGCTCGTCTGCCCCGACACTCTTCCCCCTCGCCTCCTGTGAGAGCCCCGTGTCCGACGAGAGCCCAGTGGCCTTGGGCTGCCTAGCCCGGGACTTCCTGCCTGGCTCCATCACCTTCTCCTGGAGCTACCCGGACGGCATCGCGGTCAGTAGCCAGAGCATCAAGACCTTCCCGTCCGTCCTGCGGGAGGGCAAGTATGTGGCCACCTCCCAGGTGCTCCTGCCCTCCCAGAGCGCCCTCCAGGGGTCAGAGCTGATTTGCAAAGTCCAGCACTCCAAGGGGAACTCGGACGTGGTTGTGACCCCCCCAGGTGAGCCGGGCTCCTCCCAGGCTGGGTGGCAGGGGTGGG